TAAAATCATCACACTCTTTTACCCAAACACCTGCAACACAACACTTACATCCCCCCCCCCCCTAACCCCTCCACCCCACACCCTCTAACCCCTAAAAGACATTCATCTTTTCCCCCTCAATTCCCCCCCAAATAAAAACTCTATACTCCCAACCCCCCCCCCATCTTCCCATTCTTACTACCAATCCCCCCCCACCACCACCTTATAAAAATTACAATCACCCATCACTCACAAAACCCCTCATAAACCCCCTAACCTAACATACAACCCTCTTAAAACTCTCCCTCCCAACCCACCCCATCCATCAAAACCCCCAACACAACCTTTAAATATCAACCCCCAAAAATCCACCACACTAATAATAATAATCTCATCTCACCCTAATCCATCCTATATAACTCCCAACTCCCTACAACAAAATCCACACCAATCCAACCCCCCCAATCTTCCCCCACCCCCTCTAACATCAATATTTTTCCCTTTTATCCCACCTTCCCTATACAAATTCACTCCCCCCACACATCATCTCAAAACCATCATAACTATCAAATTTCAACCCTTTTCTCCTCCCCCCCCCCCATAAAAACCATATCATTCCACCCCATAATAAACCCCATTTACTCTTATAATCTTTTCATACTATAAAATACAATTAATAAAATCTCAACAACAATACCCTCATCATCATATCACTAATCATCATCACCCACACTCCATACCACAACTCCCATTAATATAAATACCCCTATACCATATATAAATCAAATCTCAAATATCCCCATCCAATCAAATTTCATCACCCTAAGTAAATCACATCCCCCATACTCCACCCTACCCCTATTCCACATCCTCTCCCTTCCCAACACAAACTTCCCCAAATCAAACATCTCTTAAAAACCATAACACACCCCTCTCTAATTTCTACACCAAACCACTCATAACCTCCATAAACCATACCCCCAACAACCCACCATCTTATAAAACCCTCCCATATTACACATCATTACCCCTAATATAACAACCCCCCCCAACCCCCATCCATAACCTACAAACCCAACACAAAAAATTCCCCTTTTCACAACCCACCCACCCCCACACACCCATTCATCCCATTCACACACTCCCTTTCTAAAACCCTAACCCACCATCCCCCTATCTTCTTTAAAACAACATTAACCTGAATAAAAACCATTAATCAAAACTATTTAATTACTCACACATATAATCTTAGACGGTACACATAAAATCCCTTTTCACCAACACCCAATAATATCATTATAATCTATTTATTCAATCCCATAATTTCACTCTCCCCAATATTACATTCATTCTCACTCCCCCCCCCCCCCATCAAACTCTTCCCCAACCAATATCTTTATCTTACCATTCTTATAACCACCTTAATACAACAAATACCTTTATTCCACTCCTCCAAACTATCCATACCCCATTCCCATTCTAAAAATCCTTAAACATAATACCCAATCCATTCCCTAACCCCCTCTTGCCCACCTTCCAAATACTAACATCAAACCCGTCTAGAACCCACACTCTCCTTACCCTCACAATCCCACACCAACATACTCCACACCCACCCTACACACACTCCATCACACCCCAATCTTCACCTTCCCATACAAATTTCCCTCCCCCAATCCCTTCCAATACCATTCTCTATTTTTTTACCCCCCCTCCCCTCTATCAAAAACTTATATATCTTCCTTACTTCCCAAATTACCACCACACCACAAATACCCAATATATTCCTAAACTCCCCATATACCAACTAAACCCCATTCCTAACCTACTATTTTCCATTTCCACCACAAAACCCACCCCAAAAAAAAAACACAGACCCATTTCCAACCCTCCCACATAATTCCATCTAAAAACGACTACCCCCCCCATCCTACCCAATTCTTTATTTCCACCCCTTACCAAATACATAAACTCCAATCCCCCCATCCAACTCCCCCCCCCCATAAACAACCTATCCCACAATCAAAAATAACCCTCACCATATATCACCCCCTCCCCATCCCCTCCCAAACACCCCCCCCCACCAAATCCACATTCTATTTCCCCCCACCCCCTCAAAATCCCCTCATCAAAATTCCCACCCCCCTCAACATCATCCCCACAATCTTATCATCCCCCCCCATAACCACCACCAATACATAAATATATATATTATATATATAACATTATATATAAAAAGCAATCACAAAAAATAACATAAAACCCACACTGCCTCCACGCCCCATCAGTCTTCTCCCAACTAAACTCCATCCCCAATCCCCCACACACCCTCATAACCCACACCCCCACACTCCTCCTAATCATACACATACAAACATAACACACACCAAACACCCTAAACGACCCCACCACCCCCCATCACCAAATATATCCCCCCCCCCTCCCCCAAATAAATACCACTCCAAACCATACCTTACCCACAAACAAAAAACAATACATAACCACCCCACCAATCCAACCAATAACCACTTTCCCCCTCCTCCCCCCTAAACCTCAAAAATCCCACCTATCCCTATATACCCCATCACATACATACCACACCAAACATCCTACAAACACCCAAAAAAACTCCTCCAACAAACCCCATTAAAAAACCACATACACAAAAAAACTTCATCCAATCTTCCCACTTCACCTCCCCCCCACCAAACAACAATCATCAAAACAAAAACACCTCTAACAACTACTACATCCCAACCATAAACTACCACCCAACTCAAATCCCCCCTCTATCCTCCTCCCCTCTCAAACAAAAATCAACTCTCCACGATCCCATCCCCTCTCCCCCCCTCCCCCCCCCCATAAACCCACCTCAAATACCTTATAACTCCTCTCAATACTTTCATACCCTAACTACAACCATCACAAACCACCCACTTCCTATCTCCTCCCCTTTTTCCCCTACCCTCCTCTCCATCCCCATCCAATAAACACCTAACATATCCTAACATACCCATCTCCCCCTTACCACATAAACCTCCCCCCAATCTATTTATTACCACCCCACTACCCTTACACCTATTACACAATCCTCAAACCTTTCAAAATATCCCAACCCTCCCCCCATCAACTCCCACAAAATCAACCCCACCAAATTCCTCTTAACATATTCCCTCAATTTACCCAAACAACCCATTTCTCCCACACCAAACACACAACCTATCAAACAAACTTCCTACCCCCCCCACCAACACTCCTTACCAACCACTAATCACCCACAACCAAACAAATCCCCACCACTCAAACCCATAATCTCCTCTTAACACATCTCCCCCACCACCCCTTCAAAAAAAACCACTTCCTAAAAAAACCATAACCATAACACCCCTTTCACCCCACTCAATAAAATACCCCATCAAAGCTCCACCCACAACCTATCACATATCAACACCCCCACCCATAACCACACAACCCCAACTACACTTACAATATATATGTCCACCACTCCCCCTAAACCCTAAACAAACCTCCCCCACCCCCCCAAAAACCACCCAAAAAAAAAACCATAAATACTATTTCCCTATCCCCCCGCCACTATATTCACAAAACCAACCCTTACCCATTCCACCCATCCTCCCACTATCCCCCCATCCCCCCCACACTAAATACAACTACCCCTACCCTCTAATAAAACTCCACTACTATCTTCTCACAACACCCACTACTCTTACTAAACACTACTACAAACCCTTACTTCCATACCCAACTAACTCCCCAAAACCCCTCTAAATACCAACATCCCCCTTCCCTCCCCCCTTCCCCCCACACAACAATACCCCACCACACTACACCACCACCCCATCCCAACCCTCAACCCCTATACCATAATCCACTCACATCCCACCACATACCCTCCCCTAACCTCATCCCACTCCACCCTTTTCATCTAACATCCCAACACCCCCAACATTCCATATCACAACATAAAACCATCCCAAATAAAATAACTCCCAAATCTAATCAATATAAATTCCAATTATACACTTTTCCCACCCCAATAATCATCATCAACCTACCATTCACACCCACCCAACCCCCACCCTTACCCCCCCCACCCAACACACATCATCCAAAACCACAACCCAACTCCAACCAAACAACCTCAAACTCAAAAACTAAAATATATAACATTAATCCATATCATAACTCCAATCTTCAATATCAAAATCCCCTTTATCCCCCCCATCAACAACAACAACCCTCCTCCCATACATACCCCCAATTCCCCTCCCCCTATTACATCACCACCACCTTCATTCACATCATCATCCCCCTCACAAATCCCACCCCAATTCAAAAATACCCCCCTCCCCCACACACCCCACCAAAAAAAATAAACCCCTACTCCCACTTAAAACTACCCATACAACATAACCATCACACTCCACACCATCCTCAAAAAATAACCAAATACCAAACCAACTAACTCAACTACTTCTATTATCTAAATTCTCATCACATTCAAATATCCATTACCCCAATCAACTTTCATTCACCCAATCCCCCCCCCCCTCACACACCTTTCCATACCCCACAAAACCCAATCCACATACTCTCCCACATCACATCTAACCCTCCTACCAAACCCTCTCCATAACACTAACCAAATACCACCACCCCAACAACAAAAAAACCCTATACCACAACAAATAACACCATACACCCCACATAACACACCAATCAATCCCAACAAACCTACCACACCCCCCCCCCCCCACTCACCAACATACCCCCCCCCACACACCCTCCCCAACCACCATTAACAATCCATAAAAATTAACTAACAATAATCCTACAACCCTTTTATATTACTCCCCCAATCTACCCCCAATACCCCCCTCCACCTAACATCCCTTACTAAACCCCTCAGAAACAATTAAACCTATACCACATCTCCTACCCCCCTCTCCCCTCATACCTCCCACCCCACCCACACCCCTACCCATCCAACCCCAACCACCCTACCTCACCACCTCCCCACAATTCCACCCATAACAAACCCCCCCCAAATTACCCCAAATCATATCCCAACACCCTACCAACAAAACCACAACCCCCCACCAACCACCCCACCCAAAAACCACACACCCCCCTCTACCTTAACACATCCAAACTCATATTATTCCCACTCCTCAATCCTATCCAATCCCTACAATATCTAACTATCTAAATCCTACCCCTTCCTACACTCCCAATACCTTAACTTACAATCCATACATATATTACTCTCCAACTACAAACCCCCTAATAATAAACCCATAAACCATTACTCCCCCCCAACCACTATCCATAACAACACATCCCCCCCTCTTCAATCTTCTCCCCTTTTCCATTCACATACTATCCCACTCTGACTTCCACCCCCATTTACTTATAAACCCCTCCTATCATCATACCCACCATTCCCCCTCACAACATCTCATATCTCCACTTCCACCACCACACCCCATCCCATAAACCCCCCATTAAGACCCTTCCCTAAATAAACTCATATCCAAATCTTTCAAAACACAAAAAACTCAAAAAAAACCATAACATATCAACAAACATAACTACCATCTAAAACGAAGTATAACCTCCCAACTCACATCAATATACATCCAATATCACTTACACCCACCCAATCCAATCCAATTACACCAATAAATCACACCACACAATCTGAAATTCATCCCCTACAAAAACTGTTATATATCTACCCCCATCACACACCACCTATCATCTAAAAAAAACATTTTCCTCCCCCTTCCATCTCTCTCACCCCCCCAACATTCTCAACATTTCCTCCTCATATACATAGTCATAAACCACTCCCTTCTCCCTGTCCACAACAACATCCACCCCACAAAACACACACTAAACCAACAACCAACCCAACACATTACCCCCATCCCATACACCCACCCCCACAACCCCCCCAACCACTCAACACTTAATCACTCACTAAAAACATAACACTATCCCCCATCCTTATACCTATTCTCCCCCCCACACCCCCCCCCCCCCCACCAATCCCCCACCCACCCCCCTAACCCCACACCAACCACCCCCACCCCCCCCCACTACCTCCTCTACAAATCTAAAATACACTACCACCCACAAATCCCCCTCATGACCCAATACATACATCCCATACTCCAAACTAACCCACCCCCATACATTATCCACCCACACACTATCTCCCACAATCCCACCCATAACAAAACTCACCTCAAAAACCCCATCATAAATATCTCACCATATAAAACAATACCACTGTCCTTAAATACCCCCCTACCCCTATTCCTCCTCCCCATCCCCCCCATCCACCCCTTCCCTCCTTTCCCCAACCCCATCTCCTTTCCCTCCCCCACAACCCCCTTAACCCTACCACCCCCAAAAATTCATAACACTGTCCCCCCCATCTCCCCTTCCCATCATTCATATCCTCCCCATTCTTCACCCTACCTAACCACACATCCCCCTATAACACATTCCCCATTATCCTATTCTTCCTTACCACAATTCACCCACACACCCCAAACCCCTTAAAACCTACACCACAACCCCCTTATCATTTTCCCCTTTCAAATCGCCCATCCCTCCCCACTCTCCACCCCTAACCCCCCCTCACATCGCTCAACCATTACTAACATAAAAATAAACACCCTGTACCATAAAAATACATCTCTCACCCCCTTCAATTCCCGTTTCACAATCCATATACAATCACTCACAACCTCATCCATACCAATATTAAACAATCACTCTAAACATCCCTCCAAACCCATACCCCAACCAAAATCTATCATCTACCCCATACCCTAAATATAACAAAACCCTACTTCTCAATACCTTCTAACCATCAAAACAAAATCACAATCCACAAATTCCCCCACAACAAAATTACACCTATAATCCAATCCAACCCAAAATATTCAACAATCAATAACCTCCACTATATTCCCTCATACCCTATATAACCCATAAGCCCCTATACAATAACAAACACCTCCCCCTATACCTCCTATTAACCCCCTCGCATCCTTATATCTATAAATCATCCTCTTTCTTTTTAAAACCCCCATTACCCCTATTTCACCAAATCCTCTCCCCCTCCTCCTTTTTTATTAAATACATCTTCACCTCTCACATATCCTCATTCCTACCACCTACCTCCCTCTCATTCTTCCTACCCTCACTTACCCCAATTCTCCTTATTTCCTACACCCCTCCCCCCCCATAACCTCAAAACTCCTACCACATAAACCACTATAAACCCAATATGTTTCACATTCAACAACTGATATCATAACAGTCAACCACCTTAAAACAATCCCAACTGTCACCCCACTCATACACTCAATAACACTACCTACACCCCCCACACAACTCATCAAAAATGCCACACATCACATCTATAATAAACACTTAACACTTCAAAACCTGCCAATCCACTACAAAATACCTCACCTACAACCCATATTTCCACATAAATATACGCACACATCAACTCATCAACAACCCCAAAACACCTCACCCCTTTTCCACTTCCCAACCCCACATCACTCATACAAACAGACCTCTTAAAAACAAATTCCAAATATTAACACTTCCCCCACCACCCACATTAACAACCATCTCTTCCACACAAATCCTCCCCACACACCCGCTATTCTCCCATATTAACAATCTCCTCCAACACACCTAATAAAAACAAACAACACCCCTCCCCTAAACATACACCCATCCCCCCCACACCACCACATAAATATCCCTAAATACTAACCTACCATTTATCAATAATGCCCCCACCTGCTCCGACCTTCTCATTACAATCTTTGTATATTTCCCCATATCATCCTCTTCAACACTCTCATATATCAACTCTCCCTCTCACAAAAATGTTCCTACTTACATTACCACCTTTAATTCCTATTCCTCTCCCCAATAATCATATGCGCCCAAACGCTATCGAGGCAGTCCATCAATCTTTTCTCTACATCCCCAACCTCTATCATGAACCTATAGTTGAGAAGCTCTCGATATAAGATCGTCTCAGTCCTAGTATCTATAGTGCAAGAAAAATGGTATGATTAAAGCCAATGAATTATATATGACGTCCACACCTTTCATTCATACAAGTACCAACACCTCCCACAACATACGCCTAACTAAGCCTTTTCATAATCAGTCGTTTCTCTGTTTTAGTATTCATAGAGATCTATTGTGCATTAAGTAAAGCCACGTAGTACTATCTATTGCAGATCCAGAGAATACCCCTATAACACTCAATTAAAAACCAATACCAGAAATAACAAACGAACATTTTAGTCCCTACCTTTGCCCAACAATTCAAAAAATCAAAAATTAATATAAAACCAATCATAAATCATACCCCCCATTTTCCATGTTTACTTATTAAATCAATCACCCAACCCTATTTGCACCCTAAAAATTCCCCACTACCACCACATACAAAACCACCCCTCCCAGAACCACCTCAGCCATGATGAAACTTATATCGCATACCCGCTTACATAACATATTCTTAAAAATTAACACATTTTTATCATTATAGACAGACATTGATTTCTTTTATGAAAAACCAACCAAAATACTCACAAAAACAACTTCATTAAACAACCCCATACCTCAAACTAATAGTGATGTCTTCCCACGATAGAAATACATGCCTAAACATGACCCTCACAAAAACTATTCACAACCCAAAATCCACTAACTCCTCCCTTACCACGTCAAACAATTAATAAATTTTCACACAAGAACATTTTACTCTATACTCTTAATCCAATCATCAACTAATCAAAATAACCCGCAACAACCACCAAACCTAACAAATAAAACTCAACCAACTACAATTCATACCCTCTATTAACAATGCACAACATCATTTAGATACAGTGAAATTGAGTGTCATGCTTAATAAAATATATCAACTACCTCAACTCAACTACAACTCCATTATACTAATTCTACCATTAATGTAACAACCACCAACAACACCACCCCTTCCCACCACACACTCTAACCCAACTATAAAATACTCCTCCACAATCCACAACAAAATATATAGAAAGTTACCATCCTTCCAATCCCCCATAACTCTATCCAGACCTCACCCTCAAACCCTACCCCTACCACCCACACACCCCCCACTCAACCCCTCCAATAATTTATTCCCCCCCCCCCAAACCCCCATCCTCATCCTCTCTATCCAATCCCCATCAATATCCACCCCCCAATCGCCTTTCCAAAACCACATACCCCCCCCACCTAACAATATAACCCCCTCCCCACCACTCAACATCCCCAACTTCAACCCCCAAAACCCACCAACCTCCCCACACCACCCACCCATCTCCAAAACCACAATATTCATAAACCCCCCCCCACCCACACCCAACTACCCTAACCCAACCTCCGCCCATATACAACATTCTCAACACTTTTCTAACCACCTTCCACCAACCCACCAACAAATCAATATTACCCCCACCCCCATCCCCCACCACAAATAAATCAAACAGTACATCATACAAAAAAAATCACATCATAAAATCATCAAGAACATCATTCATATCTTAAATACACCCATAAAACACCCTCCTCTACATACCACAAATCATACCCTCCCACCAAACCCATCACAAACCCCTTTAACAACCCACCATAGCAAAAAAACACCAAACCCAACACTCCCCCCTACTAACTATCACACAAATCAACACCCCAACTCAACCCCTACCCCTAATAACACCAAAATCAAAATAACCCCCCCTTTTAAACTCCCCACTTTTCTCATACCTAATATCATTTAATATCACTCCTCTCACCACAAACTATTACCCCACCCCCCATATTCTCCTACACCCCTTAAATCACATCCACCCACAACATCCCCCCCCCCCTTCACCAATCTTCAACACATTTGTCTCTAATCCCAATCTCCTTATCACCCCTAAACTATATCATCCCCCAAATATTAATCAAATCCAACAACCTACTTAAACTATCATATCCACTCATACACTCTCCTATACACCCCCCCTATTTTATTTCCCTTTTTCACTCCTTTTACATCCTTTTCACTTTAACTTTATTAAACCCCCCCCACCCCCTCCAACACACCACAAACCATAACCCAAACACTTATAATGCAAATACCACAAACCCACAAATATAACAACAAATCCAATAACCACCCATACTCACCAAAAATAAACCCATAAATACTCTCTCCAAACCCCCCCACCCACTCCTCCTCTGACAAAACGCCTAATACAACAATTAACAAACAAAATTTTTTCTCTCCTACCTCAAAAACCTTTTCCATTATAACCTCTAAATTTCATATTAACTCTTAACCCCCACATCCTACACAATTCCCAATTACCTTCACTTTACTCTCCCAAAAACAAAAAAAACATCCCTCAATCTAACTCCCCCTTTACCCCTCCTCATTCCCTCTAAAAAAATCCTCCACACCCCTCAACAAATCTCCCAACATAACCCCCCAATCCCCCAATAAATAACAAAATTTTCCAAAAAATTTCCTACACCTAAATAACCCCCGCACTTTCCACCACCCCAATCCCTTATCCACACAATCTCCCCCAATATAATATCTCCATCCTCACCACCTAACCCCACCAACAACCCAACAAAATTCCCACCAATCAACAAACAAATTCAACAACACCACCCAATAAAACAAAAATCAAATATAAAAAACACACCAATACCCCCACCCCACCCCCCTCCAATCGAACCAAACTCCTTACATTCCATACCCTCTCCCTCCGCCCATTCACCCCACAAACCATATAATATCATCATTCAAATTATATACAATTCCCCACTTCAAATCCCTCACCCCCCCAACTTAGTATCCCCATATCCTTCCTACCCCCAAATTCCCTCAAAAATCACAATAACCAAACCCTTTTCACATACCAAAACCCCACATCAAGACTATAAAAACACATCCCCCCCCCACACTCAACCCCTACCACAATAAATTCCAATTTCAATTATAGTACACACATATATACCACCCCATTATTCACAAATACCCCCAATCTAAACCCTCCCCCTTTACAACATAACCCATACACTCCACCAATTAAACTCCCACCACCTACACCCCATCCTCAACCTCACACCCACACAATACATCTCTCTAATAATCAATACCCACCCTCTACCACAACTATCCTTTACAACAAAACAGTTCAAACACCTCCTAATCCCTCTCTTAATAATACCTATTCATTCATCATTTACTCTTCTACAAAACCGCTATCCACCCCACCCTCCATCCATCCTTAAATCGTATATATTATCAATCACAAAACATTGTAAATACCCAATATCCCCCATCATCCATCTCTCTCCCATCTTCCCAAAAAAATCCTACCACCCACTAAAACTATAAACTAAAACCACATTCCCTCCTCTCCCCAAACCCCTTCAAACACTCCAATTAACCAACCCCCCCCCCAACACCTCACATCCATCCCCTCACCCTATCAATACCCCCACACCCCCAAATTACCCTTAATTACCCACACCCCTATCCCCCCTTCCCCAAACCTTACCACCACTTCATATCCCCTATTTACTACAACATCATCCATTCACACACCAAATATACCCACCCACCACATCCCCATCAAAATCATCAAACCCCCATTACTACATTCACACCAATGCACTTCCCAAATCATTCCATAACCCCATCCCTCCCCATCACACATCCTCCCCCCCCCTATCATAAAACAAATAACATTACCACTCCAATTCAAAACCCCTTCATTAACCACTAAAATCCCCAACTTTAACCCCCCCCCCATATAAACAAACCCCACCAAACAACCCCACACCTATAACCACAATAAAATCTCTCCCAAAAAATCAACCCCCCATCAACATCAACCACCCATAAACACCCAAATCCATACCCAATTAACCTCTCTTCCCCACTTCAACACCCTATCACTAACACAATCCTCCCCTACTACCTATTCTCCACAATCCCCCATATCCCTCTCATTTCAAATCTTTTTTACTAAACCACCCATATCAAAAAAAAAATCCTACAAACCACCCACCACCCCCCCCCATAAACAACCCATAACCCCCAATCATTAAATCAATATTAACTACCAACATCTACATCTTATAACTCATCACCCCCCCCAACTACCCCCAAATACTTAAATCCAATAAATATCAATTTACCTCTAACCATTCTCCTTATCACATATCAATCCTCAACCACCCCATCATTTATCACCTTTTTATATCACCCCATACAACTTTTTAAACCCCCATATCATCCCCATCCCTCCCCCCCCCCCCCCCAACCTACTAATATCTATCTTACCTTCCCACTCCACCACCCTCTACAACCTACTCCCAAACCCTCCTACTCTACAATACCACATCATATACATCTCCACCCCCCTACCTCTATTTTACACGCCCCCACCAATTGTCCACAATCTCATATTGTTTTCAAACTTCACAAATCTTCACACTTAAAACCCCACTTTCCCCAAAACACAACCACATATAAAAAAATTTTAATATCTCATTCCTACGCCCCATCAATATATCACCATCCCACCCACTATAATATATACGTACCCCTTTAAAACCCTTTAAACCCATAATATCATACTTACCAACTACACCCCCTCACAACCCCTAAACACCTCGTCAACTTAATAAACACATTTAAAACAATCAACACCCCACCACCAAAAAAACCAAATCAACCAAAACCCTACTCCCAACATCGCCCCCACAACATTCCCCCATATACCATCCCCTACCCTCCCACAAAATATTCAACATTCCCACTTAATCATCTCCCCCCCACTCCTCCCCCCCCCCTTCAACAAAACACTAATAAATAATACACCAACCCAATCCCATCTCCTTTCACCCTAATCCACCAATAATCCAAAAACAAAAAATAATTCCAAATCTCACCCCCCCCCCCCCCACCCATCCCATACCAACCCTCAACACTCCCCCCACCCACCTCCCAGTCATACCCCCCAATTCTATTTCCTCCATTCATAATTCCTACAAAACCTTCCCCCCCTTTAAATCACCCTTTCACCCATACCAAAACAAACAACAAAAAATCCCCCCCATACACCTACCCCCCCTACCCCCCCCTCTACCCCCCCAAACCAATTTTACCATATTACACCCCCCAACAAAACCCAAATCCCCCCCCTAACTAATCATAAAACCCTAAAAACATACTCCCCCACAAATACAACTCCCCCTAACACCTTACCCCTGCTCCCTTAACCCCTTCCATTCTCTCTCACAAAACCAGAACTCCCTCCAACCCCCCACTTACCCTCTTTCACCCACCCCCCAATATCTTTAATTATTCCCCCCCCCACCACCCCTCTCCCCAACTCCACTAAAAAACACTTAACAAAACAAAAATTTTCCCATAATCCCCCCCCCAAATACCACCCCCCCATCAACCTATTCAACAACCTACCCACCAACCCCCAACAAAACCACAACCCCCCCCCCCCAACTACCCAAACCCAACCCACCAACACAACAAAAAACAAAAAAAAACATCTCCCACCCTCTTCCCATCCTCTACCAAAACTTGCCTTATTTTTTCCCCCCAATTTTCCCATCCCTCCATCAACCTCCCACTCCCCAATCTATTTCCACACCCCCCTCCCAAAATCCACCCCCTACCAAAAGTCACCTCTAACCCAATAACCCCCTTTACTCACACACCCACTACAAACTACAAATAAAATACCAACCCACAAATCTTAACCCCCTCCCAAAAAATAAATCTCCCCCAATATCAAAACCCCCTCTTAAACAATCTATCTCTTTAACATTCCCTACCCCTCCACCCATTTCCAACCATCAATTCTCCCTTTCTTTACTTCCCACCCACCCCCCCCCATCCCCCCCAAAACCTTATAATACTACCCCCACAAAATCAACCACCCTCAAAACTCATCCCCACATACACCTAACCTCTTACACCCCCCTATCATCAAACCACCTAAAATACCACAATGTTCCAAAAATTAAGACATTTCCCATCCCCACAACCCAACATAACAAAACCCCCCCCTATAAATCCCCCTCCGTCCCCCCTACCTCACACCACCTACCACAACTACTCACCCGTCCCAACCCTCCTCCCTCACCCTCCCACCCCTCATATCAAAAATATCTAATTTTACATTAAAGACATTTCCCCCCCCACCACTCCAAATTCAACATCAAAACACACCCCATCACCTACTCTTAAAAACCACAAAATCAACCACACCTATGTCCCAATCAAACTATAAT